AAACTCAACATATGCCCATCAAGTAGCATAAAATCACATAACCACATAACAAATAACAGGTTGCCACTACGAAGATAGTTAGTCGTTCTAGAAATCCTTTTAGACCTCTAATTAGAAATCACGTTGATCAAGCGCATTTCCAATGAGATTTCTAAGAAAATTTCTGGAACCGACACAACATCCTCGAGACTCAACCCCATGCCCACATAAACACATAACATCTTAGCACATAAGCATGTTATCACATAGAATGCAAACGTCGCTTACAAGCATGAGGTAAACCCATCTGTGGTCAAAACCACTTCCCACGAACCAAGGTATTTAAACCCGGTTCGCTCTGATACCAAGTTGTCACGCCCCGTATTTTATTACTCGGATAACATTATCAATATTCATTAATTAAGTTCATTTACAAATACCATTTCATCCTTGGATGAAATGATGAATAATTAAATATACATGTTCCCTCTCGTTATACAACAATGACATTTACATACAAATAAAAGAAATGCCTTGAGGCTTACAATAAAAAAGAGGACACTACTCTTTACAAAAAAATAGCACTCAGCCAAACAACAAATGAAGTAGTACAATCCATCACTACATTACACTTATGAAATGGTAAAACCCACTGTTTGATCTTCAAATCCGAAAAGCATTCTCTGTACACATGTACAGACAGGGGGTGAGCAACCACTAGCTCACTAAGCAATTTCATATTAAAACATTAGAAGATATGCGGGTACAAAAATACTCATACATATACGTGAAATCATATCATGTCAAAACCATATGATTTTATTACATTATCTCTTAAATTCAATTTATTTAATTAATCACAAGAAGTTAAATAAATAAACATGTTTCAATAGCAATAGCACATCCTTTTCAATTCATTCAATTCTCTCATTATCAATTGAATCAAATAATTAAACAATTCGTCAAATCCATTTATACGGTCTTATGAGATGAATGCATATGTTATGTCATGCTCAAAATATTTTTCTCATCTTTTGAAAATCTTACGCACCATGCCATTTTAAAAACATATTAATCCAACAATTTCAATAAAATTTCAAGATGATAAATACGACTCAGGTAATCCCTAGGCTGGTGTCTGCAAGTAGACTATACAAGTACTATCAATTTGTCATTTTTACCAGTATTAACTGGAAGGCTCGACACCTATCATCTACACCACATTTTAAGACTTACCATCGTATTTACCCTAAAATCATTTCTTGAAAACTTGTTTCCCAACATTCATTTCTCAATGCAAAGTTTTCAAATCAAATTTCAAAGCTTATCATTATCAAATGAATTGATATGCCAATGCAATGATTAATAATACAATGCAATATTTCTTCCACTTTCAATATTTCCACACAATATTTCCATTGTGATCAAAATTTTCAATTTTCAATTCTCATTTCTCATTTCAATATAATTTCTCAAGATGAATTAAATACTTTTATAACAATTCATCTATGGGACAACAAAATTCCCACACTTAGAGTAATCTCAACTATTTAGTCACATCAAGACTATATCAACATTTTGAACAATTTCCAAATCAATTTTCAATTCTCATTTCTCATTTCAATATAATTTCTCAAGATGAATATAAATACTTTTATTCCAATTCATCTATGGGACAACAAAATTCCCACACTTAGAGTAATCTCAACTATTTAGTCACATCAAGACTATATCAACATTTTGAACAATTTCTAAAACTTCAACAATTCACATATTCCATGAAAACCATCATTTATATGTAAACAAATAAATAATTTTTCAAACATCATTTATTTTGGCACACAAAATAAATATAACATCCTCAAAGATTGTCAACATCCTTCTTAAAAATTCCCAATTTCTAGATTTTCTCACCAAATCCACTCTTCATTTATTGAAAGAAAGTCACCAAAAACATCTCTCTTTAATCCTCATAATTCAAAACCCTCAATTTCTATTTTAAAAGGAACAAGAAAGTAAACCCACTTTCAAAAAAAATTTCTCATCTTCTTGAATCCACAATCAATTTTCAAAACGAATCAAAGGATGATTTCGAAAGTCATCTAGATCTTGCATAAACATATATATAACTCAAAGAAAATCTCTACTTATTAAATATTATCATTTTCATCCTACTATGTCAAAAGTTATGGTATAATCTTAATAACACACTTTTAACCATAACGGATATAACCTTTTAACCAAAACTAATTTAATCCACTAAATAAGTAAGTTTATTATATTCAAAAAATTTCAAATTAATAATACCAAACCTAACTTCACATGCCTCATTCCTCAAACATAACTATATTTCAACATAACTATTTTTCCTACCAAGCTATTTAAAGAGGTAATATTTTTCCAAAATTCTCTACCAATAACAATTTCACAACTTTTTCTGAAATTACTTAACAAACATGATATTTACATTAAAAATTAAGAAATATGCCCAATAGTAACATTTTCAAGGTTATGAGTTTGAAAGCCCACATTTGACATTTTTATTTCCATAAAAATGAACACAGCTTATTCATCAACCTACCATCTTTTATAAAATATTATGAATATAACAATTTTAGATTTTTTAATCCCAAAACAACTCTATAATTCCTAATTAAGCATTTACTCCATATTCCTCGACATCAATTTATTTTTCTCAAAAATAAATTCCAAATCAAAGATAAAAAAAAATCAACTTTATATTTTTCAAAATAAATTATCTAATCATAATATGATGTAAATACAATCATACAACTGTTAAATTTTATTTTCGGATTTCTTTGCAAAATTATCAACACAAAATGATTTTTCTAAATCAATCTCAAAATGTCAACATTCTTAACATTTCAACATAATTTTTCTTCCAAAAATTACCAAACAAAAATTTGAATATATATATATATATATGCAATACCTCTTATAATGATATATTTTTTCAAAATAACCCTAACATAGTGTTAATGTAAATATGAAGAAAGTTCCTACCTCAAATAATGAAAAGGAGCAGATCTAGAAGGCAAATCTAGCTCGATCATGAATCCGAGACTACCATTGCAAAGATCACGACGTGCTCTCCAACTTTCGTTTACGGCACTCTTGCAAAATCTCACTCTAAAGACTCCCATTTCAAGCTCAAAGGTTGAGCCAACAATGGAGGAATAAGGAAAGAGAGAGATGGTAGAGAAGAAAGAGAGCAAAAGCTCTCTGCTCAAGAAAGAAAAAAAAAAACAAAAGTAAAATGAAGTAGAAGGAAAGAAGAGATAGGGAGAAAGGAAGTTGGGAACAACCCCATGTGGGCTAGTTTCCCTAGATAGTCACCAAACTTAACATCACCCAATCCAATACAAAATATACGACAATAATATCTTCAAAATTTTGTACATAAATTGTATAATGATATAATTTTATTTCACCACAAAATATAACATTTTGTACATCATAAAATATTATCTTTTGTTCACTATGAAATATACAACAATTTTTATTAACTACAAAAATATATAATTTTTCACCGTATGGTACACCTCATAAATTTAACTTTCAAATATATATTATAATCTTATATAATAAATAATAACAACTCCCAATGTGATCACTACCAATCACATAATTAAAATAGACCGAATAGTTAAATATGAGTCATTAAACAAACTCAAATTAAATTGAATCTAAGTTATGGGTCTTGAATTAAATTCTCACCCATAAGCCAGATATAGCCCAATTATATACCTAAATATACCCAACAAATTTTATCTCAAGTCATGGTCTAAACATTCAAAATTTAATAACAAAATTCTGGTATGAATTAAACTGAATACCAATCAGTTCGCGAATTTTCATAAAATAAATACTCATCAATAATTCAAAAATTTTTATCCAACGTGCTAGACTCATATGGGAATAATATATAAAAATTTCATAATTTTCTGAGATCGGGAACTATTTTTAAAAAATACAAAACCGAACTGTTTTTTCACAGAATTTACACAGCAATCAAATTAGAAAATTTGCTCGATTAAATTATGCACTGGCTATTTAAAAAAAAAAATTGGATCATTACAGTGAGTGTAAATTCTTAATTTGTCATTACGATGTTAGTTGCAAGCTAGAGCACTTTCCACATGGAGAAAAAGAAAACCTCATTAACAATTTGACTTCCAATGCCCTTGAACTTGGATGATTATTCATTCATGCCACCATCCGCGCGCAGGGGGGGGGGTGGTTTCTTGCTAGAGTCCATTCCTTGATCCTCCGTCAAACAGTTTTCTATTTTGCCCAAAAACCTATTTCCAAATTCCAATAGCATATTGTACCACAAAAATGGTAATTTATCAAAAATAAATTAAAATTTTGGACCACATAAATAGTTAAATGCATAGATGGTTAAAATATTCTTCTAAGTTAGGTGTGTTGTGCTAATTTGTATGTTTAAATTGAAGAAGAAAGTATCTCAAAATCTTGTGTACTTTATTGAAACATCTAATGTGTAATAAGTTTAAAGCCCTAACAGATCTTCTTATTTAGTATTTAGACTTTTCATTGAAGTTTATTTCCTTAATCTTCAAAATGCAAATAAAAATTGTGAGTTGGCACCTGCCAGCATGGGGTGAAAAAAATTCTACCTTCCATTTTCTGCTGCACAATTACCTAAAACAAAAGAAAAATTGGTCATCTCAATGTTAGAAGGCATCGATGCATCATAGAATTTTCCTTGATTGGAGTTGAAGATGTAGACATTATGGCACAATCAGATGAACAAATTAGCTACTAGATGCATCCCTTAAGACTCTTAACAATTGAGAGGAAATAAAAATCCCATTTTTTGGATTGTCAGATAGTTACACGGCTTTTACCCACACACACCGGGGGGAAAAAAAAAAAGAAAAAAAAAAGGGCCAAGATTAGTATGTTGTTTTTAATATTTTTTTTTAATAGTTTAATTTCACTTCCAACTAGCATGCATGAAACATAGTTCTTACTTTTATATTGCATTCAAGATAAGATGAATCCTAATGTGCATTCTGTGTGCAGCGATCTATCCTATAACAACTTAAGCTCATCAGTTGATTCAGATTCATTTTGCCAACGCCAACAAAGTAAATTGTAAGAATACTTTTGTCCTACTTAATAACTACTACCATAATCTCTCAAAAAATTTCGGTGTATCCAGCTCAACTTTTCACTCTCTATTTTCTATAGGAACTTGTTTGGAAGCTCTTCAGAGGACAATGCTTCGTAAATTTCTGAAACTTTGGAAGAAGTTCATTCATAATATTTTTTTATTGTTTTCATAAATTATTTGGGCAGTATTTCAGTTTATTTCTTTCTTATCTAACCTAAATTCTAATGTAATATGTTGCTGACTGGTTCATGATCTCATGTTGATCTGTCAGTGGAATTCTTACCTGCACTGTTTGTCAGCGAAGTAAGTAGAAATATTCTTTATTTCCTTGTGTTGATAGTTTGACCAGTTAACTCTCAGTCATACTATTCTTCTTTTTATTTTTTCCCGTCTCCATCAACTTATCATTGCCGTGTAAAGCATTTACCTGTTTTTAAGGCTTACACACTGAAAATATGATGTTGGGATTCCATTGGTCTTCTTTCCAGGTGTAGCAAGTGGATAAAAAATGGTGGCTTAAAGAAGATTTTTTTTAGAAAAAAATGTTTAGTGTCTTTTAGATTAAAATCACAAATAAGGACAAAAATGTAATTGATTGTTTATTTTTTGGGGGGTTAGGGGGAGGGTGTTATCGAGTAATTCTTTCCTAGATCTCTTTGTTTGCTATCTTTCTTTTTATTTCAAAGTTAAATAATCAGGTTATGTTTTTGTCTCAGATGTCTCTTCTTTCCATATAAATTGTGGTGGAACTGAAGTAGCGGTTGATGGAAAAACATATGAAAAGGATACAGATTCAGCTGGGTCTTCAAGGCTTTTCATAAGCCGAACTAATTGGGCATTTAGCAGCACTGGTGACTTTGTGGAAGATAATAGCCCTACATACATTTGGACAAATACTTCGAGGCTCTCTATGAAGAATTCCGAGTTGTACATGAATGCACGGCTTTCTCCCCTCTCCCTGACTTACTATGGTTTCTGTCTACAAAATGGAAAATACACAGTAAACCTTCACTTTGCAGAGATCATGTTTACTGATGATGAAACATATTCCAGCATTGGAAGACGCATATTTGATGTTTACATTCAGGTAACATTATACTTTCACACCCATAAAATTTGATGTAGAAAGGTTTCTTTTTCTCATATTATATTTTTGTTGGTAACTCATTTTGAAGTGGTACTCTTAAAGGAGATGTTGTCCGTGTTAATGGCCAAGTATTTAGCATTCAATTTTTCATCGATTACTATAAGAAATGAATTATTATTAATTTTCTTTGGCAAGCTTAACATAACAGATCCCTGCCATAGTGAAATTTAAACAGTTGCCTTGCATATCGAGTTCATTTGTGATTGGATTAAGTTGCTGCAGGGAAAGCTGGTGCTGAAGGATTTTAATATTGAGCATGAAGCAGGTGGGGTTGGTAAGGAAACCATACAAAATTTTACAGCAGAAGTGACTAAAAGCACATTAGATATACGGTTCTATTGGGCAGGAAGAGGGACAACTGCTATCCCTTTTAAAGGAGCATATGGTCCTCTCATTTCAGCCATTTCTGTGAATCCTAGTATGTTCTACAACTTCTACTACCTTGTTTTTTCTTGTGTTAATGATTCGGGATTGACCTCATCTGAACATAACAAATTTCACAATATTTCTACATCATGCATCGATTGTAGTAAACCACAGAAAATGGAATTACCTATTTATTATAATGAGTCTTCCCCTTTCACTAAATGTTTAGTAAAGAAATGACCTCATTTTAAAGTATCAACCATAGTTACTGTTTATTTTGAGAAGAGAAAAGTTAGAGGTATGAGTGGTATTTCATCCCTTTCTATATTAGATCATTAGCATAATTACAGGAGCATCTTAAGGCATAAATAAAGATACTAAATATACATCAGGATGAAATAGGAAATATTTCTAACATTCTAACACTCCCTCTCAAGCTGGTGCGAAGATATCTCTCATGCCTAGCTTGTTGAGAATGTCACGAAATGGTTTATTCCCTAATCCTTTGGTGAGAACATCAACCAATTGGTCCCTAGACCTCACGAATGGCGTACATATAGTGCCACTAGTGAGCTTTTCCTTGATAAAATGCCTATCCATGTCCACATGCTTGGTCCTGTCATGTTGAACTGGATTGTGAGCTATATTGATGGCTGCCTTGTTGTTACAGTATAGCCTCATCGAATCTGTTTGATGAATCCCCAAATCCCTCAAAAATAATCTCATCCATAATAGCTCACACACACCCTGAGCCATAGCTCTGAATTCAGCCTCTGCACTGGACCGCGCAACTACATTTTGTTTTTTGCTTCTCCAAGTAACTAGATTTCCTCTAACAAAGGTACAATAGCCAGAGATTGATCGTTTATCAGTGACTGATCTAGCCCAATCTGCATCTATATATGCCTCCATACTAAGATGACCATGTTTTGAGGAAGACTTCAAGTACCTCAAAATCCGCATAACGGCCTCTAAGTGAATTGCACGTGGAGCATGCATAAACTGACTAACAATACTCACTGCAATAGCAATGTCAGGTCGCGAATGAGATAAGTAAATTAGCTTACCCACTAGCTTCTGGTGCCTCACTAAGCTTCGGTCCAGGCTCTAGTGGTGTATCACAAGCTTCACTGCCAAGCATTATTCTAGTTTCCTTTAGCAAATCAAGCACATACTTTCTTTGATATATGAAGATGCCATCTATGGACCGAGCAATCTCAATCCCTAGAAAGTACTTCAAGCTGCCTAGGTCTTTGATTTTAAACTCATTGGTCAAATACTCCTTTAACCGAGGAACCTTCTCAACATCTTCCCTTGTGAGTACAATGTCATCTACATAGACAATAAGAGCTGTCGTCTTTCCATGTGAGGAGTGTTTCACGAACAAAGTATGATTAGCTTGATTCTGTTTGAAACCACATTGCAGCATAGCCTAAGTAAATCTCTCAAACCAAGCCTTAGGAGACTGTTTAAGTCCATAAAGTGACTTGCGTAGTCGGCACACTTTTCCTTTGGTTTTAACATCCTCAAAGCCTAGGGGAATGTCCATGTACACTTCTTCTTCCAAATCACCATGGAGGAAAGCATGCTTCACATCAAATTGATGGAGAGGCCAGTCAAGATTAGAGGCAAGGGAGAGGACTCTGACAAAGTTCATCTTAGCAACAGATACAAATGTCTCCTGGTAATCTACTTCATAAGTTTACGTAAAGCCCTTGGTCACCAATCTTGCCTTATTACGTTCAATTGAACCATCGGCTTTGTGTTTCACAGTGTACACCCACTTACATCCAACAGGTCATTTGTCCTTAGGTAACTCAGCCAATTCCCAAGTGCCATGTTTTGCAAGAGCTCGCATTTCCTCTATCATGGCATGCTTTCACTTAGGAGTAGAAAGAGCATCCTGAAAATTAGAAGGAAGACTCACAAAAGAAACTTTAGACAAGAAAGCTTTATAGGAAGAAGACAGATTAGTATAGGAGACAAAATGACAAATAGGATGCTGAGTGCAAAACCTAACCCCCTTCATGTTAGCAATGGGAACATCTAGATTAGAAAGAATCGAGTTACCTGGAGGTTCATCAGCAGAAGAGGATTCTGGACACTAATTAGAAGGAGAAGATAGCAGTGGAGATTCTAAACTGGTCTCTTTTACCCAAGTAACTTGTTTTCTATCTCTGTCCCTGACATAAACTTTGCTATCTTTCACTATGGATTCAGATTCAGACTCAACAGTCGCAATAGCTGAGACACCCTTAACATCCTACTCAATCACTGATGGTAGTGATACAGGAATCGCTTTACACCAAGGCTCCCCCTGAAAGGATGACTGAGACACCGGTGATGACAGGAAGTAGGATAGAGACTCAAAGAAAGACACATCCATAGAGACAAACCATTTCTGAGAGGGTGGATGATAACACTTGTAACCTTTTTGGATGGTAGAGTAACCCAGGAAGACATACCGAAGGGACTTAGGATCCAACTTACCACATGTAGGAGAATGGTTGTGAAAAAAGCACACACACCCAAAGGTTTTGGGAGGAATGAAGAAACTAGAAGAGGAGTGTGTTTGTTGAGAACTTGGGTAGGCAGACAATTGATGAGGAAGGCTGCAGTGAGAATAGCTTTCCCCCAATATGATCGAGGAACATGCATTTCAAAGGACAGACGACGTGCAATATCAAGAAGATGGCGGTTTTTACGTTCGGCAACACCATTCTGTTGAGGGGTTTTGGTACAAGAAGTTTGGTGAATAATACCATGAGTGGCAAAATAGCTGGCAAGGCCAGAGCCAATGTATTCTTCCCCATTATCAGAATGTAGAATTTTGACAACCGCCCCAAACCGAGTGCAAATCATTGTATGAAAATTTTGAAACATAGAAAAAACCTCACATTTGTCCTTCATAAGATATACCCAGATGGTCCTAGAACAATCATCAATAAAGGTAACAAACCATCTTTGACCCTTCAAAGACATAAAACGAGAGGGACCCCATACATCAGAATGAATCAATGAAAAAGGGAATAGACTTTTATTAATAGAAGGAGCAAAAAAAGTTTGGTCTTGTTTTCCAAATTGACACGACTCAGTGAAACTCAGAAACATTGGCTGTGTTTGGTACAGCTTTTGAATCATGATTCTACCTTTTAGTTTGAGTGCGGTGCTTGTTTACAATTTTCAAAAATCATTTCCACACCTGCGTTTGAAAATTCGTGTACCCGGATGTCCCTCCGGCCGGTTGACCGGAACAATGTTCATGATTTTATTTTTTTTTTGCACTTGTTATTTTTATATTTTAAATAAAAAATATTTTCAAATTTTTTAATTTTTTTTTAATGAGTTTTGAATAGAATTTTGGGTTGTGTTTGGTTATGAGTTGTAAGTTTTTGTATAAAAAATTATGTCACATCACTCAATTCAAAAACTCTTTTCAAAACTCATTCACCAAACAAATTTTCTACACTCAAATCATAATTCCAAAACTCACAAACTCAAAATACAACTCATATTCTCAAATCATATTTAGAAAATTCTACCAAACGCAACCATTATTTTTCAAAGCAATTGAAGGAAAAAGATGTTGAAGTAACAAAAAAGATGGATACCCAAGACGACGGTGCCACGACCATAGGTCTTTCTTAGTAGATGGTAACTGAATGGAGGAATGAGCTAACTTTTCTGCTTGATCTAGGATATACAGACCATTTGCGTTTCTACTACTGCCAATCATCTTCCTCGTGATAAGGTTCTGAAATAGACAATGATCAAGAAAAAAAGTCACACTATAATTCAAGTCCCGAATAATACGACTCAAAGACAAAAGATTAACCATAAAATTGGGAACATGTAGTACAGAAGACAAAGGAAGGGAAGCAGTGGCATGAATTAAACCTTTCCCAGACACGGAAGAAATTGTACCGTTAGCAATTCGAACTTTATCCTGTCCTGAAGAAGGGGTATATGCTGAGAGCAAATCAAAAGACTCAGACATATGGTCGGAAGCACCAGAATCAATAATCCAAGGCAATGTTTGATGAGATAAGAAAGTACTTGTAGAAGAAGCTAAATTACCTGAATGGACAAAGTTACCTGAAGATGAACTAGATGTCTGACGGTCGAGCAAGTGGCGAAGAGTAACCTCTAGTTCAGAAGTAGAAAAACCAGAGATATCAACGGAAGAAACAACCGGAGTTGGGGGATGTGGCTTAACTATATCAAAATGATGGGCTCAGGCATTGGGCTTGCGGCCTCTAGACTGACCGGAGCGACCCTCACGAAAACCAGAACGATCTCCACGACCCCCAGATGACGGTCCATGCAACTTCCAACAAGTCTCACGGGTGTGGCAAGGGTGACGACAATAGTCTCAGAAGAGGGTATCCTTCTCAGAAGGAGGACGGGAACCATGATCTCCATCTCTAGAGGGTGCAGAAACTAGGGCAGAGTGGTAAGAAGAGGTAGATGGAAGCATAGCAGAACGACGACTCTCCTCATTCTGCACATAAGCAAACACTTCTTGGAGAGAAGGAAGTATATCCATACCAAGCACACGACTCCGAACAGGATCATACTCTACATTCAGACCTTCCAAAAACTTGAAAACCCGCACTTGTTCAACAAATTTCTAGTAACCAGCAGAATCAGTGGGACAGACCGCCTTGTAGTCCTGAAGATGATTAAGTCTCTTCCACCCATTGCTAAGAAAAGTGAAATATTGGAGGATAGCCATCTCACCCTGGACAGACCGGTCAATGGAGTGTCGCAACTCAAAAGTCTGTGAAAAATTGCCTTTGTGAGAATACGTAGTGGCCACAGCCTTCCAAATATCTTGGGCTGTGTCCATAGACAAGTATCCCTTACCAATCTCTGAAATCATGGAATGTATCAACCAACCAATGATAAGAGAATTGGTAATCTCCCACTGATCATAACCCGGATCTGTGGTACTGGGGGGCTGAACACGCCCATCAACATATCCCATCTTCCTTTTCCTCTTAAAAAAAAATAGTCAAACGCTGCGCCTATGCTAGATAATTCTGACCATTAAAGAGATGTGGTGATTTTCTGGCTAGAGTGGAGAGAATCTGTCATAGTAGGAGGCAAAACAGAACTCGCGCCTTGAGAAGCAGGTTGCGAAGTAGTAGACTCACTAGTCAATTCTGCCATGAATACTCTACTAAGGAACCCTCACAAACAAACATTGGTTTAATCACAAACCCAGAAGAGGGAAGAATACAATAACCAGAACCAAAAAAATAATAATTTAATAGTACATTTTTTTTCCCCTTTTTTTTTAGAACACAAAAAAGAAAAACAGAGAGACAGAAAAACAAAAAACAAATTACATAAAGAGAGAGAGATTAAAAGTTCACATCACCCCAGACCCACGAAAGAGAGAGCAGCAGCAACCCAGACCCACGAGAGATGGAGGCTTGATTGAACCAAGGCTTCTTAGAGTCTGTCGTCTGCCTGAGAAGGGAGGAACGACACCCATGACTGGCCCTCCAAACCTGCCGACAGACTTGGGCTGGGAAAAGAAGGCTCCGACGAGCCCTAGGGTGCTGCCGAAGCCCTAGGGAGCTGTGACTAGGACTGCTAACAGCCTAGCTGACGACGACTGCTGACGTCGGAACCCTAGGGGGCTGCAGTTGGTGCTGTGGTGGTGAGACGGGGTTGCGGTGGTCCTGTGGTTGTGCGACTGGTGGCAGTGGCTGGTGTGATGGTGCTGTGGTTTCTAGGGTTTCAGAGAGGCTCTGATACCAGTTTATTTTGAGAAGAGAAAAATTAGAGGTATGAGTGGTATCTCATCCCCTTTAATATTAAATCATTAGCATAATTACAGGAGCATCTTAAGGTATAAATAAAGATAATATACATCAGGATGAAATAGGAAATATTTCTAACATTAAATCTCTTTGATGGAGGAACTAGTTCTGTGAAAACTTGATTTTGGAAAGGAGACGAACCCAACATGAATTTTAAAGAACTTGTCATAAGCTCTTAGGAAATGTTGGAAAAACTTCGTAGAAACACTTTTATCATAACTTTTTCTATTTTTATTGCATGCAAAGCTTATTTTTTAACAACAATTAGTTTTTTCATATATTGTTTAACATTTGTATTTTAATCGAGTATGAAAGTAGTCAAAGGCTTTATATTGTTATTTCAAGGCTTCTAAAATATTTGCTTTTACATATTCTACTCAATCCTATATGACCTGTCATTTCTAGTTTTCTATAATATTTTTTTAACCATTTTTCACATTTCTGTTTCCCGTATCTATTTCCCATAATGACAACTGTGATTTCAACTATCAGCATTAGGTGATTACTCCTTTACCTTTATAAGTCTGATGATTCACAAAAACGGATGCATTCGTATCAATGCTGTTTCTGAAGAGCCTTCTAAAATAGTTAGGCAAACCATAATACTAATAAATGGATTTTGATGATACTGAAAGGTTGAAAAAGAAGACAGTGCAATTGCTTTTATCACTTCTTTATGTTTGTTTTGATTACATTGCCAATGGAACAAATTTTCTTACAGGCAGCAAGATATCATTCTTCTAGAAATAGAAATTGACATCTCAATAATTTTATTCATGTCAAAATGTGGTCATTTTTTGTCGGCCTTCTCATCTTTGCTGGGGTTATTGTTGGGATAGTTCCACATTCCAACTAAGCAAAATGATTTTACATTTATGTTCATTTACAATTGCTAGTTAATAAAAGTGATTCAAATTGTGGGATTCCTTCTGAGTAATTGACTTTTGAACAAGAATTAACGATGTGACTGCGTGGTAATGGAATTATTTTAGTTGTATCTTAGCCTTACTGCAATGTCAGGCAAACCAGGAAACCAATAAATGTAAGCATGAGGTTTTTCTGTACATTTAAAATGTGAAGTTTAAAGACAGAAAAGGGATAATAAATTATTGTCCTTTTTCCCTTTTGATTGTTTTTTGTTCACTTGGATCCCATTCATTAATCACCTTAACAATTTCATCTCATTGGTGTATCTGTTTTCGGTTCATGCAGATTTTGATCCATCAGAGAATGGGAGTAATGCATCTGTATCAGGAAAGGGAAATACTATATCTGCAGGCGGTATAGTTGGAATTGTGGCTGGAGTAGTATTTGCTATCATCCTAATGCTGGGTATTCTTTGGTGGAAAGGATGTCTACAACACAATAATACGATGGAACATGGTAATTTAAAATCAACTATAGATAATTATGATAGTAATGATTATCATACTCACCATCAATGGTGTTTCTTTTTTTTTTTGGGGTGGGGAGTGGATAAAAATTCAATGTCTATTATGTTATTTACCCCAATAAGCACATTATGTAAACATGTCATGGTTCAATAATTTTTATTGTCCAGAACTTTTTTAGAATCCAAACGAGTGTTTGGTTCATTGGAATAAAGGTTGGAATGGAATTGTCATTTGATTAGAACATTCATTCCCATGTTTGGTTCGGTAAAAAGGAAAGAAATGTACATTCCAAATTGACTCATCATTCACCAATTTAGGAGAATGGTCATTCCATTGGGAGGTCGATGAATAGCCATTCCATTCCTGCCCAAAATCATCAAGTCTACCAAACACTACCTTAGGAATTAGGATTAATGCAATACAAGTTTGGTTTGCTCATTGTGGGAGTGCTTTATTTAGACAAAATTACGATGTCCAGGTCAAGTGGGACTTGTTGATTTCTCTGAGCTTAGAAGATGAAAAAGCAACGCCCAATTAGTACACATTAATGTGTGTTTGGGAGGGGAAAGATTGAGTACACACCTAACCTTTAGCATAATGCACAAAGTGGTGGCCCCAAGACTTGAAACCATTATTAGGATGATTTTTTTTTTTAATGCAAATTATTAGGAATGAGCCTCTTGACTTTATTGAATGTGCTTACTTATCTAGTTGAGCTTCTTCCACAGATCTGAAGGGTCTAGACCTACATACTGGTTCATTTACCTTAAGGCAAATTAAAGCTGCCACAAAGAATTTTGATGTTGCTAATAAGGTTGGAGAGGGTGGTTTTGGTTCGGTGTACAAGGTATCTTGTGGTAGATTTACTTTTTCCCTGGTGTTAATAGTAATTCAACTCTTCATAATTGACATTGTTTTGAAATGAAGGGCCTTTTATTGGATGGCACTGTGATTGCTGTGAAGCAGCTTTCTTCCAAATCAAAGCAAGGAAATCGCGAGTTTGTGAATGAGATAGGCATGATTTCTGCCTTACAACACCCTAATTTGGTAAAGCTCTATGGATGTTGCATTGAAGAAGATCAACTGTTGCTAGTATATGAGTACATGGAAAATAACAGCCTTGCTCGTGCTTTGTTTGGTAAATTTCAACCTCATGCTTCACTCTATTGCATGCTTTTGGTATTAGAAAATAAACACATATTTTAGCGTATTAATATTTTTGAGTTTTTAATCATTTGGCAATCTGAAGGACCTGAATGAAAGTAGTCAAAGGCTTTATATTGTTATTTCAGTGTGATTGATACACTAAGGCAAATGAAGTGTGATTGATACACTATATGAATGAGAACGATATGATCACCCGCTGAGGTATGCAGAAAGTTAAAGGTTAAAATAAGGGCTAAATATATTGTTCATTACTTGTTGAAATTTGTAGCAATTTACAAGTTTATGTTAAGCCGACATATGATCACCCGCTGAGGTATGCAGAAAGTTAAAGGTTAAAATAAGGGCTAAATATATTGTTCATTACTTGTTGAAATTTGTAGCAATTTACAAGTTTATGTTAAGCCGACATATGATCACCCGCTGAGGTATGCAGAAAGTTAAAGGTTAAAATAAGGGCTAAATATATTGTTCATTACTTGTTGAAATTTGTAGCAATTTACAAGTTTATGTTAAGCCGACATATGATCACCCGCTGAGGTATGCAGAAAGTTAAAGGTTAAAATAAGGGCTAAATATATTGTTCATTACTTGTTGAAATTTGTAGCAATTTACAAGTTTATGTTAAGCCGACATATGATCACCCGCTGAGGTATGCAGAAAGTTAAAGGTTAAAATAAGGGCTAAATATATTGTTCATTACTTGTTGAAATTTGTAGCAATTTACAAGTTTATGTTAAGCCGACATATGATCACCCGCTGAGGTATGCAGAAAGTTAAAGGTTAAAATAAGGGCTAAATATATTGTTCATTACTTGTTGAAATTTGTAGCAATTTACAAGTTTATGTTAAGCCGACATATGATCACCCGCTGAGGTATGCAGAAAGTTAAAGGTTAAAATAAGGGCTAAATATATTGTTCATTACTTGTTGAAATTTGTAGCAATTTACAAGTTTATGTTAAGCCGACATATGATCACCCGCTGAGGTATGCAGAAAGTTAAAGGTTAAAATAAGGGCTAAATATATTGTTCATTACTTGTTGAAATTTGTAGCAATTTACAAGTTTATGTTAAGCCGACATATGATCACCCGCTGAGGTATGCAGAAAGTTAAAGGTTAAAATAAGGGCTAAATATATTTCTCTTCACTTGTTGAAATTTGTAGCAATTTACAAGTTGAAGTTAAGCCGAGATTACTGTTTCTCTTCACTTGTTGAAATTTGTAGCAATTTACAAGTAGGTAAGACTAAGATTACCATTTAATACTTGTTGAAACTTAAGAAGAAGCTTGCAAAGTTTACATTCCGAAATATATGTTCTACACTTGTTGAAATTTATGAAAAGGTTGCAGGACAGTATCTTGCCGAAGTAAAAGTTTTACGGTTATACCCGAGGTATGTAACCCCGAGAAGATTGCACAAAGGAAGCAACATGAAGAAACATGCAAAAAATTTTCTAAGTACAAGACTATGCAGAAGCAGTCAACAGAATATCACAAAATTAAAACATCCAGAGGAAGAACTGTTGCAGTTACATATTAAAAAGAACCACGTCGGCCAAAAGAAGGAGTTTTGCATTATCCAGAAAGTAAAAAAGTACAAAGAGCAAAGTACAGAAAAAGAAGGAAAAAGTACAGAGGATAACTTTCTCAAGATTCTTCACTGATAGCCACTGCAGGGACTGGGACCTCGGACGACTCCGGTGGTACCTCGTCGGCTACCTTTTCCGCCTGTATCTCGGCGTCAATCTCTGCGATTGTGTTCTCCACACTTCTTTCTACCAAGGGAAGATTGGACGATAATTGCCCAGTGGTAGTCTCCTTGGATACCCCCTCAACCTTATCACCCTCCTCATCCAAAGTTAAGTCCATAACCTGCTCAGCAGGAGGAGGGGACTTGGCTTCGGCAGCATCCTTGGGTTTTCTCACCAAGGCCTCACCATCATCTTTTTCTTCATCTTCATCTACGGCATCGGCCTCAGACTCTGATTCACCTTTAGGAGGAGGTGGAGGAAATGGTAGAGGAATAGCGTCGGCCTGACGCAATGGCGAGTCAGCAGGAAGATCAACCTTCTTTACCAGGGACATCCAACCAAGGGAAAATCCCCTGTTGCATGCCTGCCTTATAATCTTCTGCGACGTCGGCCATACCTTGGGCATAGGCCTTTTCATCGGCTTCTTTGACTTCGGCCTCTTTGGTGGCCAGAGCCTGCTGGAGTTCTTTCTCCGCTTGAGCCTTCCTAGCCTCAGCCTCTCTTTTCTCGGCTTCAGCCACTTTTTTAACGGCTTCAGCAGCTTCGGCCTTCTCAAGAGCTAAAGTTTGGACCTTCGTTGCAGCCTCGGCCTGATCTTCTAGTTTTTTCATTTTTGCTTCAAGGGCCCTTATCTCTCTCTTCATTGAAGATGCTTCCCTCTTCATATCAACCAATCTTTGACGATTTTCAAAGGATTGCATTGAAAATGAATGGGCGTGTTGGATAGCCTGAATGAAAACAGAAGTATCAGAAAATTTTCTCGGAAAGAAACAAAAGGGAAAAACACAAATACAAACAGAAATACTTACTTGAGCGGAGTGTTGGAGCATAAGAGCGTAATTTTCATACTCACTAAGCTTGCCATTTCGCTCCAAGTCATTTGGTAAAAGAAGAGCAGTGCTAAGGGCGACAGCAACATTAATGTCGTCAGCACTCTCACTAGCCATAATGGGCCTATCCTCCAGGGATAGATCAGGGGCCCAGGGAATGTCGGGCTTCTTCGAAGCCGAGGTCGTCGCAGACAATGACCTTGGCCTCCTCGATTGTGTAGACCCTGAGGGTTGGCCCTCAGCAGACCTCTTGGTTGAAGTAGAGGCTGATTTTTTGCTTTCTGCTAGCTTTGAAATAGGCACAGCATCCTCAGCCTCGGCATCTGTAGCCCTGGCCTTAGGCTGAGCCTTTTTAACTCTCTTTAGTTTGGGTGGGAGCATTGATTGCGTTGGTGCGGCTTCGGCGTCAGTTGGAAGATCGGCGAGAAGGTCTTGAACGACAGGCCTTGGACGAACCATTTCGGCAGTCTTTACAAGCCTTCGTCGACGTTTACGTTCAGGAATTGGTATTAGGTAGGGGGCCGAAGTTGATGGAAGATCAGCTGGGTCAGATGTGGACTCTTGATCAGTTCGGGATGTAGAAGCAGTTAAGGTTGTGGCTGTGGGTGGAGAAAGACTCTTCTTCCTTTTTCTTGGGACGTCGGGTAAAGTGGATTTATACGTGGGGATGAAGTTTAGTAAGACTGGGGCTTTTCGTTTATGGATTGGAAGGTTAAGGAGTGTTTTCAGATCTGTTCCTGGGAAGAAGGATTGACGAAAATTTTTCGGTGGCTGATGAAGATCTGCAAAGAAACAGACGTCAGAAACAAAAAGTATTAAAGTCTTAAATAAAAACAACTAAGTGTTGACTCAGGGCTCTTACTCTTGCCCTCTGTAATTGTTCGAGGAAGAGGGTAGAGGTGGACATCTTCATCTGGGCCAAATTCCCAATTTCCAGAAGCAATGAGAAAATCATCTCCAGCCCCCTTGTTGGAGTCTGGGAGGTCGGCTATAATTTTGTACTGAGTAGATCTCGGCTTAAGGTAATAGACAAAACCCCTATCCTTCAGATCAAGAGGGCACATGGTATAACAATATTGAAGGTCGGCTAGGGTGATTCTAAGGTTTTCTTGCCTAGCTAAGGCTATAATACCGTTAATTACCCTATAGGAATTGATAGTAAGTTGCATGGGGTTCAGCTTATAAAAATGGAGAACTTGACGAAAAAGGGGATCAAGTGGAAGCCGAAGTCCGCATTCGGTAAAAGCAACTATTGGAAAAGGCATTGTATGGTCTGTGGGCACGATGGTATCATTATCCCCAGCCAGCTTAAGATAAACGTCGGCTGGGATAGAGAATTCTTGCCTAAAGTATTCAAGTTTTGTTGGGGTATTTACCCTATGCCTCCACATACCCATTATGTCGGCTTAAACTAAGAAGAATATGTTTCAGAAGATGGGCGTTTCTCAGGTTTCCCTAAAAATTGAGGGTTCTACAGACAAATCCCAAATCTATGAACTATGAAGATAAAGATCGAGGGCACAGATCTGGGGCAGATACAAAAAAGAAGAAAACAAAGACGAAGTTTCAGATTCAAGAACAGAGGTATAGTTCTCAGAAACAATAGAGATACAGAAACAAATCAAGAACAGCGGCAAAGAGAATGATGAAAAAGCATAGAAATTCAAGGTATAGCCACAAATTCAAGATACAAATAAATCCAAGACCTCGAACAAGATCAGTAATGGCAACAGACAGACAAAAGCACATAAAGAGAACAGAAGAATTAAAGGAAAGGGTCTTACCAGGACAAATGAAGCCGAGGCAATGCTCGCCGAACCCAGAAATTGGTTACAACAGCAAAGAGGGCTTTTGCAAGAATGAGGGATTAAGAGCAGTTCCAGAAGAGAGATTGAAGCGATGGCAGATTCGAAGAAGAATGAGCTTTTAGACAGAGAAAGAGCAAGAAGATGGAATGAAAAAGTGAAGAAAAGATAGAGGCAAAAGAAAAGTTTTGTCAAAAATGTGAAACGGCGGCAAAATTAGGGCAATCATTACGCCTAGGGTAACGCACGCGTCAGACGGCGCAGACGAACGAACAGACAGCTTCCAGGCGCGTCACAAACACGCTCCAATGAAGACGAAACACGTAAAAGAAGCAGTTTGATATGCATGACAGCTCATGCGCGTGGGAGAGTACGACCGAAGCCTTGTTCTTTGAAGGGAACACATCGGCTGAAAGTAGATAATCTTGGCTAATCAGTTTTTGAGCCATTACTCAGAAAAGAAGTGGCAAAATATCGGAATAGGTTCCATCACCTCGGAATACCGAGGTAATAGAACCTAGGGGGCAGTTGTGGGGATATATTTTCTGAATACCAACACGTGGCATGGTGACGCCGACGTGTCAGCCGAGGTGCCACGTGCCCTGGTAGTTAAGCCGAGGTAATCTCGGAGAAGCCGAGGTCATCTCCGAAGATATCGGAATCCGAGATAAGGGACAAGAGTCCTAAGGCAAAGAGGGGACTTAACC